GCAGTTAGTTACACGAATTCAGTTATGAGATGAAATCGGATAGAGATGAAATTGTTTAGGGATGAACGGTTTTAAGAGTTTAAGAGTTTAAGAGTTTTTAAGAGTTTTAGCCAAATGCTTTATAATATAGTATAGATATGTATGAATTTTTTTTTATACGAAAAGAGTAGCAACACAATTGGATTTTGATCGTTAACGGGTAGGTATTCATTTATTGGGGTTGTTTGTTTACCTTTTAATATTTCCATTAAAAGACAACATTTGAATCGTTGAGTGAATCTTGTTTGACCAAAAAAAAAATCTGCCTCTTAATAGTTATAAAATCTTCTGAATGATTTTACATATTGGACCTCTTTTAACCATTCAACACCCTAATTTCATTGTAAACAATTACTCAAACAATTATATTTCATTTTGCACTATATTATAAGAGTCTCTTGATCATTATGATCACTTGATCATTCTGCATCAAACCATTCAGCAACTATCGAACAGCCCCTTGTAATAAATGAACAAAGTAAAAAAAAAATAGACTTGAGATCACGTGAGACCATTCTATTTTCGTGAGACCCGTAATACCACTTTTTACACTTGAAACTTAGCAAAACGTTGTGAAGATAATCTTCACAGTGTTTTTACCGTGAATGTTCGATTTTTTTTTTACCTTCACAACGTTTTGCTGTAAAGTTTCAAATGTAAAAAAATGGTGTCACGGGTTTCACGAAAACATATTAATCTCACATGAACCCATCCCAAAAAATTATAAACGATTGCATTGTTAATTCTACAACTTGATATAAAATAACTCTTATTTTTAATTTTATTTATTTATTGAAAAAAAGGTAAAATGCATAAAATAGCAACCTACTTTCATAATTTTTTTTATTATAGCATTGTACTTTCAGTTTTTCTTATTATAGCAATGTACTTTCAAACTATTTTTTAATAGGACATTGTACTTTGAAAAATTTACTCATTATAGCATTGGGTAACCTTTTGATTTAAATTTACCCATTATACTAGGTTTCCATGCACCTCATTGTCCACGTAGGCTGTCCATATGTACTAGTGATGTGACTTTCTTACTACATCATTGTACTTTCAAAATTATTTTATTATAGCATCTACTAGTTCTTATTAAACAATGTATTTTTAATTTTAATATTTAGATATTTTACATGTTATTTAATAAATATATTAAATGAATTAAAAAAATTCTAAATTATTCATTAATATACCAAT